GGGGGGGGGGCTTGTTTTACAACGTCGTTGCCAAGCGACGAAAACCCAACCCCGATGGTAAACACCGGGAAGGGGGGACAAGATCTTGACGGCTTCATAGGGCTATGCAGCCGCATGTGAACGTTGCTCAGTGGTGTACGCAGAGCATCAACAACACATACATCATCACTTGCTCGTACATTCGAGGAGATGGTGCCCCAAATTGATGGGAGCAAGTGTTGGCCGCACTCGAGATGATGTTGGCAAACACGTGTGGTGTTCGTATATCCCACAGTTAGTGGTGGGTAACCGACAGATTGTGGAATCCATCCTGTTGACGTTTTTTGTCGGCCGTTGTTGTTGTTGCTGCTGCTGCTGTTGTTAATGTCCTCCCTACAGCCAAAAAGAAGTCAAGCCACACAACTCCATGTACCACCGTCATTGTGTGTCCTTCACGAACGAAACATTCCTTTTGGCGGAGTTTCAGAGAAAAAGAATCCTTATCCTACACCCGCCCATCACACCCGCCCGGGCAAGCACATTGGTTTGTGGTTTCAATACCGGAGTTTACACGCGTTTGTTTCGCACTGTCCATTGCATGTCCTTTTGGCGCCATCATAGGTACGGCTGCTGAACTTTGAGCGACCAGCGGACGCCCTCGACTACCGCCCGCCGCCAGCCCCTAGACGCCCTGGGGACAACGGCAGCGCGGGGGTAAACGGTGGCGGTGGCGGTAGGATTGGCGACGGCGGAAACGCGTCCGTTTCTTCCGAGAGGGTGAAGGAAGTGCTAAGACTAAGAGCTGAATTCCAGCGGGAGGCGATCGACGCGTTAGAGTTGTGACATGACGACGTGGCGCAACGCGCGAACGCTGAAGTCAGGGGCCATTATCGTCAGCGCGTTGTTCGGTTGTTGATGAGGGATGGGTGGTGGTCGCGTTCCTGCTCGCTTGCAAAAGGATGGGGCAGACATAGTGAGCTGCAGTAGTGAAAGGTTTGGTATTACCAGGGTTGGTTACCATGTCCTCGTCGTTGAGCGGAGGCCTCCACTCCCATACATAGGGGTCCAACAAAATATAATTAAATTGTTTCGCGCGAAGCGCGAAAAAACGGACGGAGAAAGAGACGCAGGCGTAGATAGATATGGATGGGAAGCCTCACAGAGAGGCCACCCCTGCTATTGCACACGCTCGCACCTCACCCAATACCTAGCTCTCATGAATCATCATCAGCTCCTGCTGCTGCTGCTCTCGCTGTGTGGATGTGCACCACTCTTACGCTCGTAGCAGCGGCAACGGGCGCTAAAAATCGCCCCCGACGCCCTCTACGTGTGTGTGTATTTGGTCGCCTTGGCTGGCACCGTGTGTACATCTATCTCATTTTCTCTCTGTTTTCGGGCGGGTCTGCTGTGGATCAAGCCAAGATCGGCCTGCAGACAGACCGGCGAAGATAGCCAGCCGCAGATTGATTTGTGTGCACTTGCTTCACTCGCTTCTACGCTGCTAGCAGCAGGCAACGGGCTTCAAAAATCGCTCTCGATGCTTCGCATGATATGTTCCTGTGGCCACTTTGGCCGGCAGCAGTTTGTACGTCTCATTAGGTTGGGGTTAGGGATGCAACACACTGTGTAGCAAGCTTAGGAGATCGGCCTGCAGCATCAGCAGCAGCAGCAGGAGCAGATTTGACTTGTGTCGCCTCCCTCGCTTGTGGTGCTGCCGACAGCAGCCAACCGGCTCTGACAGCCGAACCAGACCTCCTAGTATGTGTGCCTGTGGCTGCCCTTGGTCCACGGCAGTCTCGTGTGCTGCTGTGCTGGTTGACTCGTGTGTTGTCCACGTGTCATGTGCTGCTGCTGCTGTGCAGCGTCGTTCGGGGGATTTCCGCTCGGCGGCCTGGCCATCGCCCAATCATCTGTCTCTGTCCTACATAATGTCCTACATAGTCGACATGTGATTGGTGGGAGGACGGCATCTACCTGGCTCCACCCCTCTGAAACATAAATGTTTTTTTTTGTCCTTCCGGTCCAACATAATTTTTGCCGTACGTATGGGTGCTGTGCCAAGCGGAGAGTGCCATGAAGCCGTACGGACACGGCCGAGGCGTTCTTTTGAGACGATTGGCCGCTTTCGGCTCTGCCGGTCGCTGCTGATAGGCCTTTGCTCCATCGGCCCCTTTTTTTTCAATTTTTCTGCCTTTTTTTTTTTCGACCCCTTTTTTTCGTTTTTCGGCCCCTTTTTTTTCTTTTTCGGCCGCCCTCATTTTTTCCGGCCACCTCCATTTTTTTTCGGCCACCACAAATTGTGCAATTTTCTTCTCGGCCGTAGCCGTACATCTACGATTTTAACATACTATTGCGCCTCGCGCATACCTCTCCTGTAACCTATGCTTGTTGCTGTGTTCTTGGTAAATAAAGACCAAAGACCCCCCCCCTAAGTGCAAAATAATGTCGCAAAGGGTATGGTAGGTATCCCTCAAACCAATTACATGAAGGGAAGGGGGGAGGGGGCAACCGATTTTCGATATTCGGCCGGTTGAAATCGGAACTCTGCCCTAGTAGCCGATTAGAAATCGGCCGTAGCCGATTGAAAATCTGCTACAGTCAATCCTAATTCGGCTGAGCCCTGGCCAAAATCGGCCGCTTTGTTTGAAAAATCGGCCGTTTTTTTCTTCGTCGTTTTCCGGCCGAAATTTCCAGAAGTCGGCTCTTTTGGCCGCGGCCGATGGAGCAAAGGCCTAGGCTGCTGACACACAGCAACTCCGTTGCACGCGATTTTCACCAGTGTACGGGGTTTTCCTCGATTCTGAAAAATATCCCTCGAGTAGAGGCTGGCTCGTACTTGCGCTGCTCGTTGCTTGATTGTAGTCTATGGAGACAACGGATAGCGTCTTGCCGACAAACGCTGATCCGGAAGAGCAGCGAAGTAACGGAATCCCATCAGTTGAGGGCATGATGGAGAAGAGGAGATGTTCGTCCGGGTAGTTTCAAATCACGTGTTATTGGGGCTGTCCGAAAACTCCTTGCTAGGAGTATTCGCTCCAAAACAATGAGAGAGGGGATGAGTTGACGACGCCATGATATTATAGTGTCATGTTATAGTAGTAGTCCCATACTTGAGAAACACAATCGGAATAGCACGGCGATGGTCTACAACAGAGAAGGGGACACTTGACAGCACTGTTGCCAACAGCATGCTTCCATGCAGACCCCATTCAACTTGTTGATGGCCATCTCCCAGCGACATTAATAGTAGCTGTAGCTGGCAGCAGACACACGTAGACACTCCGAACTCCTCCCCGAAGCGTTCAGTTCCGAACCGAACCAGTTTTTTGTGGGAGTTCGCAGCTCGGGACAGCTGGTTCGGGAGCGAGGGAGGGCAGAGCAGAGAGGAGCAGCTCGAGAGGAGAGGCAAGGAGAGAGAGCCAACGGAGGGCGCCAAAGTAAAGCAACAGGAAGGCTTGGCCAGCCGGCTATCCTCTCCCTCCTCTCTCCTATCTCTTTGCAGTCGGCCGAACACGAAGATGACCAGCCTCAGCCAAGAAAAGTTTGCCAGCCTTCATGGCCGCCTCATGACCATCCTGTCCGCGGACTCAAGCGTGAGTATACTGCTTTAGTCTATGCCATGATGCTGCTGTGTAAGAAGAGGCCGTCGGTGCGGATATCTAAACAACCGAAACAATGCACACCATACATACTCGTTGAGATATGAGCAATCTCACGCGCCGAGGATAAAAGAGAACGCTGAAGCTAATCAGTCAACCTCGGGTCGGGTAACCGACGGAACTCGCGATACGGGGATGTAGACCATGTTCGTACAATAGGTGCCGCTTTCCTCGTGATGGAGATGTTGCTGTAGGAACCTGCATTCTCGTCCTACCTGGTCCATGCATATCCAGGACGATCGACTAGTCTATGACTTCTTTGTAATTTACAGCAGACTGTTCGTGGGTACTATAACGCTTATGTATGTACTTTTACATACATTTCAGACATTGCTGCCCGCTGTCCCGCTGTGTACCACGCCCAAACGCAAGACATATTCATAGACTATCCATACATACAGTAGTCTACATTATGTTGGATCGCCTGTTTCCCTACAGCTTTCCCGCCTCTTCCTTGACAACACCGATGTATGTACTTTTTCATACATTTCAGACATTACTGCCCGCTCCCGCTGTGCACCACACCCAAAAGCAAGACTACTCTTTTCATCGACGATGCATACATACAGCAGTCTACATTATGTAGCATCATCGTCTGTTTCCCTAAAGCTTTCCCGCCTACTCCTTGATTCGCTCGTGCATGCGCTCTGCCATCCGCGTATGCGCTGGGTGGGTTACTTAACTGAATCTTACACTCCAGATACTCCAAAAATAGCCCTTGAACAAAGTGTCCCGCGATGCCTCGTTCCAACGACGTCTCCCTCTGCCCCCCCCCTCGCTTACACGATGACGATGTTCGTGGTGTATGAGGGTGCCAGGACGATGGGGTCAACAGCGAGGTTTTGTCGGAGAGCTTCGGCGAGGAGTACCCCCTGCTGGTGGACGTCATCAACTCCCTCCTCGTCGATGTGGGTCTCGCCCATGATTTTCAACGAATCGCGTCTTTTTGTCCTTCACCCACTCCCATGATTTTCAACAAATCGTGTCTTTTGGCCCTTTACCCTTTGCTGTACCACGTTCAGCTGCCCTCTCCTGAAGGCCTCAAGGTGCATGGTTTGTGTTTAGATCGTAACGGGCGCGAGGGGGCGCACCCATCATTTGCGCGCGCGAGGTGTGCACACAGGCATCACGGCACCTCAACCTGCCCCCCATCCCCCCATGTGTGGTCCGAGGATTTGCATGCAGCTCTACCGGGATCCCAGAAGCACTCTTGACTACGCCTTGACCCACTTGCCGCTTCAGAGCCGCACCGGTGTCGCGTGACCATGACCGCCTTCGCGCGATTAATAAGATTATTGTACGGAAATAGGACAGGAGGGGGGGACGCAGACCCTATTCCCTAACCCTAACCCAACTTCCCCGATTGTGTGCTTTGTCCATCATGTTTGCATATATGGTACGAAAAACCCTGAGAATGCTACTGCGTGGCCGGGCGTCACCCTCCTATTCACCCGAACCACCTCCAAAGAGTGCTCAATCATTTGTGGGAGCGTGGCCTTCGGGAGGTTCCTTGGTGGTTGCCGTTCCCAAGTTGTCGATAACTTCTGTCGAAGATCAGCCATGGTTCTACTGTAATATTTTCCAAACGAGTTTCCTACGTAGGTTCGTCGACGCTACGTACTAAGTATCACATGCCATCGGTCGGTGAAATTGCATCGCTCAGATCTGTCATTTCACTTGTTCTTGGACTACATCGCGTACAAAGTGCCGTGTGCACCAGTCGTCGGTGTCTACAACCATCGGAACCCGCACACCCCATGATTTTCAGGTGGCCTTTTCTTACCTTGCGATCGTTCCGCGCACGCACGGTTGTGTGCTCTCGCGCGATTCAACGTCTCGTGCAGGGTGCTACTGACCGTGCTTTGGCGGCATAGTTCACCCTTGTACGGGGCTTCTCGCGTGCCTTTGCTACGCTTTGCCGCCTTCCTGCTGTCGCCTTGCGGTAGGAGCTCGGCTCCCCAGACGCGGGTATATTCTTTGTTCTGGGGGTTCCTTGCGTGACAGGCGCCGGCATGCTTTGCGATATTTCCCCGCGCTTGGTTCTATTGTCGCCGGCACTGACCTGGGTAGATTCTGGTTTTAACGAGGTGTGCTTGCCGTGCGCCGGCGCGTGTTCTCGTTTTTTTTGTTGGCGATTTTGTCAGAACCGGCTCCAGCTCTCCAAGGGAGAAAACGACACGATGTGGTACAAGCTGGTGCAGGAAGAGAAGGCCAAGAAGCTCATGGGGCTCACGTGAGTCGTGATGCTGCTATTCTACTGCTATCACGAGAATATGGTATCATCATTCGAAGTGGGGCATATTCCCGATTCCCGATTCCGTTTCCCCGTTTTATTATACGAGAATGTGCACGCCATCGAGAAAAATCAAAACGCGCACACACGCACCACGATGCGCTTTCGGTTTCATTTCTTGTCCCGCTGGAATATCGTGTTTTCATTGGTCAGTCGTATAGCACGGTCTGTGATTGTGAATATTTCAGCCCCAGCCCCCCCCGCACGCAAACATTGAGTTCGCTTTTCGCCCTTCCGCCTCAGGCTGTTACGTTTATTGGGTCAGCACGACAAATTCAACTGCAACTATTATTGAGGAAAACGACCACCCTGTGGGTGGTATGTCTGCTGCGTTTGTTTTGTCGCTTCGCTCGTGGTGGCAGGCCCGAGCAGATGATGATCTACCAGGTGATCGAGAAGGCCGGGAACAAAGGAATCTGGACGCGGGACATCAAGACGGCGACGAACGTCAACCAGAACACCATGACGAAGACGCTCAAGTCGCTGGAGGGGAGACACCTCGTCAAGACGGCAAAGTCTGTCACGAGCAAGAGCAAGAAGCTCTACATGCTCTACGAGCTCAGTGAGTTACAAGTCGGGGGACGCACTTTCGTATTTCTTTGCTTTTTGATGTGGTGTTTGCACCAGCACGTGGTGAAAGCGTGAGGGACGGACGCACTGCGCTTTTTTTTTTTTCGTTTTGGTGTTTGTGCACCAGAACGTACGTGTAGTGCAGCGCTCACGCGGGTCTGTGTGCCGCATCGGCGCCATCGCGAGCGACACCAGCAGTGGTACCATGGTGTTAATTGTGCTGGCGGCGGCGGCGGTGGGCGGTTGTACTGGTGGGGGGGGGCGTGGTGCTAGTCGCGATTGTGTACGGTGCGAGGTGTCCATGTCCGCGAAGAGCAAGCGCCAAGAGAGGAGCTGCGCAGCTCTCCACGCCTTGTGGCACGGCGAGAGACAGGGCACGTGGTAGAGACCGAGTCGCCAGCTACAGCGACTAAGTGGCATTTTGGTTTGTTCGTCTCAGGGAGGGGCAGCACTACTATCATCGACAAGTACCACCTAGCTGCTGATCTACCGTCTGAAACGTACGGTGCACGTCGCAACCATTATTGATCCGGTGAAGGAGAAAGCAGCAACTGGTACGTCTCGGCGTTGATCGCCACCTCACTCACTGGCAGATACGTGATACCCGCTTGAATGAGGATTCTGTTTTTTTTGCGCCCCTCTGTCGGTGCTTTCTGACTCTCTCTCTCTCTCTCTCTCTCTCTCTCTCTCTCTNCTCTCTCTCTCTCTCTCTCTCTCTCTCTCTCTCTCTCTCTCTCTCTCTGTCTCTCGCTCTCTCTGTCTTTCGCCGTTTTTTCTTTCACGTTCCCATCTTGCTCGTCATCACGACCTATGCCATGGGACATCATCTTCCACGACGACAAAAAACAACGGCGGCGACAACAACGATCGAACGTAGCCCCGGCGAAGGAGATAACGGGAGGCCCCTGGTACACCGATCAAGAATTCGACTACGAGTTCGTCAAGCACCTCTCGAGCTACGTGCTCAGCTACGTCAAAGAACAGGTAATATATTTTCTGTACACGCATAGAGTCTCCCTTTCTTGCGCGCGCTCTACAAAGCCGAGGCCGTTTGTTTTGCTCGTCTAGATTGTTGCTCGTGCACCATGAGGGGGGACGAGGAGCGTAGCTCGTGGTTGCCGTGTACGTAAGTGCCAAGGATAGGCGAGAGGGCTATTTATCTGTTGCCGTGTTGTCATACCTTCGAAATTACGGCGACACTGCCGTGACGCACACCGCTCTCTCCCTCTCTCTTGGCTGCCGCTGCCGCTGCTGTTGCTGTGGTGCAGTATCTACCGTTGCCTGCCGTGCATCGCTCACGTGTGCCTCCGCCGATCCACGCGGCATGCCGCGGCACCTCACGGCCGTATGCTGTCGTGCCGTCCTCCTATGTTTTCCTGCATGCGTCTATTGTATTGCAAGCACAGCTGTGGTGTCGTTGTAAAGCAGTTCCGCCGACGACACCACGCCCGCTCCCCCCGACTCCTCTCCTCCGCCTCTTTTTTTTTTCGTTCTGTCGGTAACCATGACAACTGGGGAAAACCTGCGACACCAAACCCTACGGCGAATCTAATTGTCACGGCATCAAACACCTTGACGAAAACCACGTTGTCGGCAACACCAACACCAACGACGGCGACGGCGACGACTTGACAACAACCACATTGTCGGCAACACCGAAAACAACACCGAAAACAACACCAACGACAAAAAACGACAAAAAACGACGACGAAACCGACAACGCCACAGGAAACGCCTCCGTTGAAAGACATCGCGGCGGCCATCAAGGTGTCGGGCATCTCCAAGATCGATCTCTCCATGGAGGAGGTGAAGCTGATCGTGAGCACCCTGGTGTACGACGGTCTCCTGGAGGAGGTCCGCGGAGCCGCGTCCAGGTTCAACAGAGACGTGAGAAGAGTTACCCATGATGTAAGGCGTGACACAGCAGTCACCGTTCAAGACTGCAATGCATTCCTTCGATCGGGGCAATATGTATGTGGAACGGGCAATCTTTCTGTGCTTGCATTGCAGTATCCCGTTACATTGAAACGAACTTCACGCCTTATACGTCAGGCTTTGTCACCAACCAACCAGAACGCAACCCTACACGCGACCACCACAAACCTGTTTGCCTCTTTATATATTTTAACTCCGACGATTTCTCTTTTTTGGGGGGGGGAGACATTCGGTCAGATTGCGAACACAACTATCATGTGAGCGCGCACGCTTTGCCCCTCTTTCTGCTCTCTTGCTTCTGCTGCATGCACACATGGTGTGCGTGTCGGGGGGGGAAGAAGGCAGGAGATGGTCCCGTGTACAAGATGGCGCCAGCGGTAGAGGTCGTGAACGCTTTTACGGAGGTGCCGTGCGGGACGTGCAAGGTGGGCCGAGGAGAAGGATGGGTTGCTCGAAGCAGGGAAAGAGGGGGGCACGCAAAGCGGAATAGACGACTCGCGTGTGTTCTCTGATGCCGACGCGGTAGCCATGTGGGAGATGAGAAGATGAAGCAAAGCTTGCTATCTGTATCCGATAGGGGAGGGGGTCGTGTATGTCGTAGTCTTCAGGGGGAGACTCGCCATATTCGGAGTAGACCGCCACTGCTCTAAATTCACTCAATTCAATTATCGTAGACATTACCAGGCGCGCCTCCGGCAGGGGCTCATCAGAGCTTTTAGTAGAGGTGCCGTCAAGCGTGATGCAAGATGAAAGTAAAGTACGTGGTGTTGTGAATCTGCTGCCAGCTGCCATCAGTCACGTTTCCCAAGCTCGAACAAGCTCATACAAGCGCTGCTGTGTCTTTGACTCGAAGAGCCCAGCGAACCTCAAGGAACCAACAAGAAAGTTTGCAAGTATTTACCATACATACAGCAGTACTATTGTAGACTTGCCGGGATTGGCAATTGAGCCATATTCATCGGGACCCCCGATCCCACGTCTGCGCTACACTGCAGGTGATGAAGCACTGCTCCGAGGACGGCGTGGTGTCGCCCAAGACTTGCGTGTACCTGGCAGAGTGGCTCAACCTGCCCAACTCGGACGAGTTATTTTGACGCCACCGACCGACCGACCGACCGCACCACGATCACAGAGCCAGCCCGAGTTCCGATTATCACACATAGGGAGACGTACAGACTACAAAAAACATTCAGCGAGACGAAGCTAGCTATCGAGATCGTAGCGGTGCGTGCGGTGAACCTCCTTCCTTGTCGCGTGGAATAATTTGCGCTGAACTAGGTGAAGAGTATGTTGACGTTAACGTTGCTTTTGTTGTGTTGATTGTTCGAAAGAAAGCGTTTTTTTTACCGTGAAAGAGAACACTTTTTTTGGCCTGTATGTATAAAGTGTAGGCTGTCAGCTGGTTATACTTGCGGGGGTGATGCGAGAGCTTTAAGCGCGAGTCTCTTATTTTATGTGGGGGGGGTAGGGGTGTGCATGTGAGTCTTGGTGTGAAACGCCAGCGAGTTGTCCTCTACCATGTTTACGTCCGTGCTGTTTTGTGTCTGCCCGTCTTCCGTGCGCCGCCCAAGGCTTTCCATCTTCTCCTGGAAGGCTTAAGCGCTGAACGCTTGATTTTTAGTACGGAGGAAGGGTGAGTTTGTGTCTTTAGGGGGCGTGGAGGCGTGTTTTCAACAAGTTGGTTTGTTCGCCGTGTCGTGTGTGTGTGTGTTTTTTTCTCTTGTTAGTATCGAACGCGAGCCGCGGGTGTGGAGCCTGTCGCAGCAAGCACTCCATTTTTGTCCACCACTCTCCAGCCGCCGGTGATGATGGATGCCAATTGTCCGGCCCCTTCCGTCAGTAGCGGTCGGTATGTGGAACCAAGAACAACGGCTTGCATTTCAAAGGCGGGGGCGAGGGTATCCTCTGGATCGTGGGAAAGAACCGACTAGTTCCCTAAGGAGGTGGAACTAACTCCCTTGAGGCTCTCAAAGCGGCGTTCTTGGGCGCCCGCCCGTAGCCCTCACAACCTCAACCTGAGACGTGTTCGACGAGTTCACGACAAAGAGAACAACAGGTACGTGCGGCATACCCGAACTCAGCTTACCTGTACAGAAGGCACCTACTCCCCCGGCGAACAGCCAGCTTCAGGATCGCGTCACGCCTCGAGGCCGACAAGTACAAGCCTTCGAAAAAAGTCGTTTTTGAATATATTTAAGCAAACCCACCGCTCGCTGGGCACCACTCATCTGTCCTCCTCTCGTCTTCAGTACAACAAATGAAATACTCGTCGTGAAAGTCTCATGCACATGTTATACAAAAAATGATTTTCAACTTCTCCCCCATCTTTTCAATCTCTCTTCCGTTCCACTCCTCGTTGATAGCTGTACCACCTTCCTTCGTTTCCACCCCCAAGAGCCGCCCCTCACACGTACAACGAACGCGACGTACATTTGTATGCGCTACGCAATTTTGGCGCAGTAGGCTGAATAGTCAAGTCAGAACATGGAGAGAAACTATACACATTCGACCACCAAGCAGGACGCATGCATGCGTATGCGCTAGGTGCGCCCCCCGCCCCCCCCCTCCCCCCCCCTACCCGGCCGGCACCCCTCGCAGTCAACAACAGCAGTAATACCAACATTATGCTCGATTATATACATAGACAAGAAATCAGGCGAAGACGGGCGGGTTTTAATTTCGGAGTAGATTGGTGTGTTTGGGAGGCGAATTCGATTTCAAAGGACTCCCACCACTGGTACGTCAGCCCCCTTGTGCGTTGTTATGACCGTACCCCACACTTCTTCTGTTGTTTGCTGGTGGCTACTCTCAGGGAAGGGATGTTCCTGCATGCTGCTACTACATGTTCCACCCCCCCCCCCCCCCCCCCCCCCCCCCCCCCCCCCCCCCCCCCCCCCC